GAAGGGGGCGAATAGAGAAGGATATATTCTATTGAACCAGAATGTTGTTCACACATGTTTGAGGCCTAAGGATTGAGCTAGAAGTGGTCCATTTTATAATTATATGATGGTATATAACGGTTAACGTGCATACAAATTGGAATACTTACCAATGATTTGGGGTGCTTGTAATGAAGCTTACTAACGAACCTAAAAACGTGTATTGTTCTGGATTTAATTCATCGTAAGGATGTTGAATTCGTTACACCCATTCCGAGTGAAACCACACAAATCCACTGCCACCACCCACAACCATACTGCCACCATTCACAACCACACCCAAACGTATAGAAATTCAAGTAATTCATGCACAACCCCACTGCCACCACTCACAACCCCACCCAAACATATAGAAATTCAAATAATTCATGCTAAACCACACATTGTCAAATCCAATTGAACTACACAACCCATTTCTGCTACCACCATCACCGATACCTCACTAACCACGGTATCTTAATCGTTTGAAACTCTAACAATTCAAGCTAAATCATACACTAGCAAACCCAATTGAACCCTATAAGCTCACTGCCACTGCCCCCGTTACTGCTTTTTCCTCTGATTTCTCCCTTCTCCATCGTTAATAACCTGTGTACTGTTTACACCAGAGTGTTAAGACTTTCTTGTTCGTGAGACTGTGTATTTTCTTGCCTTTTATTTTAAACGCGGGTTTATCCTTGCTACTGAGGTGAAGACATGTTCATCCGCTTTGATTTTGCATATCTTACTCCCTTCCTCAAAATCCCTTTTGGAGGGTCACATACACCCCTTACAGTCCACCCAAATCATTTTTGTCTTACCTTTCTAATTTCAATAAGCGGACCACTACATCTCCCCATGGCTTTGGTTCTCGATCAGAGATCCATGGATGAGGAAGATAATGCTCTGGTAGTGTTTGGGTGTAAGGCTAGGTAGTGTTTGGGTGTGTATAGAGTTATTAAGGTGTTTGGGTCTAAGGCCAATAAAAGGGTATTGTTGTCCTTTAAGGTTCATAAGGGTATTATAGTCTTTTAAATTTAAAATATTGGTCATGAACAGTAATATTCAACCGGCCAATCGCCGGATAGGGTCATCTGCAACAAAAATGTATAATTTGGGAGTTTCTTGCAACTTTTATAATTCAGGGGAGTTTGTTACAAGTTCACTGATAGTTTAAGGTTTTTTTTTTTTTTTCTATATTTACCCCGGTTAATATTATCTTCCCTTCTCTATTTCGTCATGAGGATGAAAATTTATAAAATAAGTAAAAATGACTTATTTATCCGTCATTTGCTTTCCTCTTTTTTTCCCTCGTACCAAACAACCAAACTTATTCTATCGTTCTATCCTTCCCTCTCACCACCATTTCCTCCGGCCAAACTGAGCATTAATGATTTGACATTTTGGTGAAGGTTTTTGCTCAATGCTAGAACTTTTTTCTAACTTAGTAGACATGGAAAATTATTATTATTATTATTTGAGATAAATAAGGCACACTAGAACATTTTTTGTTTCAATTCATGTGTTTAAACACATGATGGTCCCAGACTCCCCAGCAAGAATTTTATTTTCCCTCCTTCCCTGCAACACCTGGTTAGTAAAATGAATAATCAAAACAAGGGTGAATTGCAAAAAAAAAATTTCCTTATATACAAAATATACAAGAAACACTCATACTATTTATTACTGTGCATATTGACCATTTTTTTTTTTTTATTTCTTTATTTATAAAAACTCCAAAATGCCCTCAAATGCAAGTAAGGAAAATACATATATAATTTCCTAACCGTATCTTCCCCCTCTTATCTCTATGATTTTTCTCCCTCTTTGCCTCGTCTCTCTCTTGTCGGGTGGAATTAAAAATAAAAAATAAAGATGAATAAGAAGAAGGTAGTAAATTAAAAGAGGAAAAGAGACCAAATGAGAATTCTCCGGTCGATATAATCTATTTATATTATGCCACATTACTAGCTTAATTGAAACAAATATTTTTCTTGCTTCTATTACGAACTCAATTGTAAAACAGAGGTTCTATCCGGTATGTAAATTGATTAAGTCACGACGTAGAGGAGGTCCAGCTACCATCTCCATTCTTCAATTAATATGTTTGCCTTTCTTTTCTTTTCTTTTTTTGTGTATGAGTACGTGACATTGACAGTTGCTCTAAACGTCTTTAAACACTTGATAAATTGTGAACGGCAACGAAGAACCCACCAAAGATAGTATATACAAACATATATGTATATATATACACACATACTGCTATTACATGTGGAATCGTATTTGTGAGAATACAGAAAATACCAATTTATCATGAATGTTTGTCGGCAAGCTTGGGCGATATGTCAGACACAGGTGGAGAGAGAGATCACTGGGGTGTGGTGGCATGGAAATGGGCAGTGGGGTGGAGCTGGGTGGTGGAGGGGTGGGTAGTGTTCATGGACGGTACATGCTTCAGAAGGTGTTTAGAGTTAGTATAGAGTTTGTAGTGGAGATGGGAGTGGTGGGGAAGGTGGCGGCAGTGGTGGAGAGGAGACAGAGAATTGCAGAGAGGGATGAAGAGAGAGGAGAGAAAAATAGTGTTTTTCTAATAAAAAAAAAAATAATCATTTTGGTAAAAGGGTTTTTTTGTTTAACAGAAAATTGATTTGTTTAAATTAAAAATGTAGGGGATTTTCTAAACACATATATGCACATTTTATATATAACAGTTTTTTGTTTTTGTTTTTTTCGTGTGTTAAAAAATAAGCCAAGAAAAACTTCAAGGAAACAACATAATTTCGAATTTTTAGCTAAGAATGTTGATAAATTCGTAATGCAAGCCCCTTCGTCGCCATTCAAAATAAATAATCATGTAAATCATTGAATCAATATTTAATTTTCAGGAATAAAATCGGGATTTACAATAAATGGTATGAATCAACGAAGGAATGGGTCATTTTTGGAAGGTGCATTCCAAATGAACATTAGCAATATGATATGCAATGCTTTAATACCTTTTCATGGTGTAATTGATCCTTTTATTTCAAATAATCAAAAGCAATCAGCTTTCCACATAAGAGAACAATTGTTGCAACTTACCCAACGTTCTAACTAAGCCAGCCAATACAAAATATAAAAATGTGGAGGTTGAGCTTTTGACAAAAGCATTGAAACAATCAAGAAATACCATAAACGAAAATCACGCACCACAACTCTATCATCTGAGATTGAGCTTTTGATGTTGACATTGATCACAACCATCCTGTTATTATATGATATCGATCTTTATTATCCAGCTTCCTTGCAATGGATAAACATGGTTAGACATGATAATTGAACATAAAATAATTACTTGTACATCGTTTTTGGCTTGCCGGTCATTAGTCAATGGTTGAAGTCCGTTTCACGAAGACTTTCCAAATGCTCTTATCTTTTCTAACCCAGAAAACACAGCACACTGAAATTCTAACTTGTCATTAAAAAGGAATATTTGATGGTTCATTCTTTTGTTGTAAACTTATGTCCAATATTGGAAGGGGAAGCTTACTCAATGGTTCACACTTTGGTCATCAGAAGTCCATTCCACCAAGAAGACTTTCCCAATGATATTATGTTGTTTTGTAAGAAAACACGACACAATGAAATTATTACTTGTGTGTGACTTTTGTCACAAAAAAACAAGAGGAGGAAATTTGATGGTTCTTTCTTTTGTTGAAATTTTATGTCCAATGTTGGAAGGGGAAGCTTACAGGAAAGTGTGGGCCATCAGACCGTGGCCCTTGATATATAGACTATATATATCAAGGCTCAAATCTCTGAGAGCCTCTTTCTTTTTCAGTCCCTCTCAAAGCCACAATCTGTTTGTGTCTCTCTCAAAGCCATCATAGACTCGCTCTCTTTAATTTCTATAAAGAAGCGCTATTACTATTATGGAAAATAAGATTGTAGTAGTAGTGTTATTGCTTGTATCTTGCCAGCTGGCTGTGTCGTCATTAAGCAGCGGCAGCAACTTCACAGATGAATCTACTCTTGTAGCCTAGAGAGCTCATATCACTTCTGATCCCAAAAATAACATCTTAGCAACCAACTGGTCACAAGGAACCTCCTTTTGCAATTGGGTTGGCGTGTCTTGCACCCGTAAGCACCAAAGAGTGACAGTCTTGAATCTTCCAAACATGGGTCTTGGAGGTACCATTCCCAAAGAAATTGGCAACCTCTCATTCCTTATTTCCTTGGACATGAGCAATAATAGTTTCCATGGCAATCTCCCTCATGAATTGAGTCGTCTGCATCGACTGAAATCATTAAATTTGAGTTTGAATGACCTTAGTGGGGACATTCCTCCAAGTTTCGGATTCCTAACCAAGCTACAAGTCATGTATCTGACCTGCAATCATCTCTCAGGGTCTCTTCCCCAAGAGATGGGTTTTCTTGCTAGTTTACAGACACTAGCCATAACCAACAATTCTATTTCGGGATTCATTCCTTCCACCATCTTCAATATCTCCTCCTTGCGGGAGATTTGGATTGGAAATAACAACCTATATGGGACCTTACCAATGGACATGTGCAACAATCTGCTAAACCTACAACTGCTATATCTTTCAAATAATCAACTAAGCGGTCAACTCCCAAATACTTTGTCCAAATGTAATCAACTTCGATCTATAACATTTGAAGACAATAGATTCACTGGAAGCATACCCAGGGGGATTGGCAACTTATCCAAACTTGAGAAGTTATTTCTAGCAAATAACAACATGACAAGTATGTATGTATGTAATATGTATACATATTATTAATTCCACCTTAATTAATTCATTTGTTCATCCATCCTCCATTCAGCAATTATTTGTCCCTTTCTTTTTTGATATATTGTAAAGCCTGCACTTAGTTGAATTAATCTCTCTGTCATTTAATAAATACTCGTACACAGGAATCATGGAGAGTGAAATCTGGAACCTGTAAGCACTTAAGCGTTAGCAGTGGGCAGAAATAAAATGACAGGTAAGATTCCACCTTCAGTTGGTAATCTGTCCATGTTAAAGGCCTTGGACATTAGTGAAAACAATTTCCATGGCAGCATTCCTTCTGAATTGGGGCAACTATTGAATTTGTTTCGGTTATCCATGGGCGATAACAACCTTGCTGGTGTAGTACCACACTCAATTTTCAACATCTCTGCATTGCAAATCCTTTACCTCTCAACGAATCACTTTTTTGGGAATCTTCCGTCAACTACAGGCCTTGGGCTTCCAAATCTTCAGAAACTTTTTATTGCTGTGAACAAATTCAGTGGAACAATTCCTAGCTCAATCTCAAATGCCTCAAAACTTACCAAACTCGATCTAGAATCGAACTTGTTCAGCGGTAGTGTACCCACGACTCTTGCAAATTTACCCTACCTCCAAATTCTCAACCTTCAATCCAATAACTTGACCAACGATCAGTTTGGCCCTGAAATAGGCTTTCTTTATTCATCGACAAACTGCAAGCTTTTGAAGATTCTAGCTATAGGAGGTAATCCCCTTAATGGCATTCTTCCCAAGTCCTGTCGAAATTTGTCCATTTCACTAGAAGAATTTCATGCAGGTTCTTGCCGCATCAGAGGCACGATTCCTAGTGAAATTGGTAATTTGAGCAACTTGGTTTCATAGGATTGGGAAACAATGACTTGACAGGGTCAATTCCTAATGCACTGGGAAAACTAAGGAACATCCAAGGTTTGGGAATATATGAAACTCGAATACAGGGGTTGATACCCAACAATTTTTCGCACTGACTTCCAAAATACAACCAGCTTTGTGGAGCCTTGAGGATGTCAACATTCTGGATTTGTCCTCTAATCTTCTAACTGGCTCTCTACCCCCAGAAATTGGCAATTTGAAACATATCACAGAGTTGTATCTATCAGAAAATCACTTCACAGGTGAAATTCCAAGCACCATTGGGCAACTTCAGTGTTTGGAAGCCTTAGATCTATCTCATAATAGATTACTAGGCTCTATACCCTTGTCATTTTCTGATTTGATAAGCTTGAAATCCTTGAACCTCTCTCAGAATGAGCTTTCAGGTGTGATCCCCAAGTCGTTGGAGAAACTTTCAGATCTTAAATATCTGAATGTTTCTTTCAATAGACTAACCGGAGAAATCCCCATGGGAGGACCCTTTGCCAACTTGACCGCCAGTCTTTCAGGCAAAATGATGCATTGTGCGGAGCACCTCAATTCCATGTCAAAGCTTGTAAAAATCATAGAAAATCAGGGAAGATTCGGACTGTCCTAAATGTAATGTCTGTGTGTGGTGCAATTTAAAAGTAAAAGAAAAAGGCAAAAAAAAAAGGTGGGACCCACTCCAATTTTAAGTCTATGGGTGTTTTTTTTTTTTTTTTTTCTTCTTCTCTCTGGGTTTACTCCCCCTCTGCCCGCTTGCTTTTCCTTTTTTTTCTTCTACACGATTAAGCTTGATTTCTCCCTCATTTCTTGGCGGATTTAGGTGCCGTTTGAGGCAAAACGAATCCTACGACGAGCTCTGCACATCCATACGAACAATTCCAGATTTGGTGCCCTTCTTGGAGTTCGAATTTCAAGACCCATTTTAAGGGTTTTGTACAATCTTGAGGTAGGGGCCCTTAACTCATGATGTTCTTGCTCTTTTGTGAATTATACCTCCTAAATTGTTGAAAAGCATGCTTATTTTTGAATTGATTGTATTAAAGCTGATGTAAGTGTTATATGTGAGGTTATGATTAAATGTGTTACTTGAATTGTATGAGAACATGTTTATTTGACTAATTTCCTTGTCTGATAAATTGATTTATCATGCTTATATTGTTATAAAACTTGCTAGAATGATATGGGATGGCATGTGTAATTTCCCTAGAGTACTTGTAATGTATGCACAATTGGATAATGTGAAAGCCTTCACTTCCATGGCATTAAAAACATGATGTACATGCATACCATGAGACATGATTGGGAAGATTGTTTTTGAAATGAAAATAGGGAGTTTTGGGGAAAAGTATTTTGATGAAAGTGTTTTTGGAAAACCCGGTCGTCGTGGGAGTACCAAAGGGCCGGAGTGTTAATATAGCCTAGAGGGGACTAGGGAGTCGCCCTAGCGTGGTTGAGCTAGCTGGACCCCATAATGACGCCGCGGGGTTACCAAAGGTCAGGGACACTAGCCAATCCTCCTCTCGTGTCGCTGCGGGGTCACCAAAGGGTGGGTTATATTAACAGTTTGAAAGAGATGGATTTTAAATGTGAAAACGGGGAGCAACATCGGCATGCATTCGCATTTCATGGCATTGCATTGTTTGTACTTGAGTTTGATTGGAATGTTGTATTATCCCGATATTGTATGATCCCCATTCCCATTGACCTATTCTATGTTTGGATTCACGGGAACACAAGATACGTGTCTTAAGTGTCACCTACTGAGCATATAGCTCACCCTGCATACTTATTATTTTTTTCAGGTCATGGCAAGAAAACAGCGGATGACAATCCTCCGCAAACTTGAAAGTTGTTAGAAGGTTGTTTGCTATTTTGTATTTTGACCATTCTATGTATATTCATAGTTGTGGAAATGTAACTAAGTTAGTATTCATGGCCTTGTAATTTAAGAACGAACTTATCTTTTGTTTAATGTAAATGAAACTAATGGAATCATGGTATATATTTCCATGTAATTGTATCATGTAACATTGTAAGACATGGACTTTAGATCTTAACCATGTATTTTGGGACTGTAATTATGATAATTTGGATTAATTGGTGTGTGCATGTTCTACCATGAGAGGAACTATGTTGAGGTGTAATGAATGGGATGCTGGAGTATATTTTTTTGTTTTGTGTATTGGGACAGGTTGTTGAAGGACCACTTTTAGGGGAGGTCATGCCGAAATTTTTGTATAAATGGTTTTAGTTTAGGGTCGTTACAAATTTGGTATCAGAGCGATGGTTCGAATACCATTAGGACGACGGGTAGAGGCTTGCCTAGGGTTGTCTGGGAAGTCATTTGCATTGTTATTTCCTTGTTTGGAAAAGTGTTTTGCTATGTGAAAAAGCATGCTTAACTGCTTACTTACTTACGTGTTTATGTGTTTATATGCTTACATTAATATGTTCATTGCATAGTATTACATGCTAAATGTTTGTACAGTATGTTTTTGCGTTGGGTTGTTCACGGTTGGACCTTAGTGTTATTGTTATTGAATTGTTTCCTTTGTTTTATAGAACGATGTCACGGCGTGAGAAAATCAGGGAAGTTGGCCCTAGACCGACTAGGGGTGATGTTGGTGAGAGCTCCAGCTCCAATCCGGAGGAGCTAAATGATGAGGACACACTTCTTAGGGACTTGATTCCCTCGAGAGCTGTCCCCACAAGGAGGGATAATGTTGAAGCACCCGTAGAAGTGGGTGAAGGTTCTGTGGCACTGGAGTTTAATCGTTTGTTGCAAAATGTCGTGAGGGCAACGATTGCTGCTCAGTCGCAGTCGGCACCACAACCTACAGTTCAAGTTGAGGAGACACCAGCTCAGAAGCGTCTCAAGATTATTAAGGGGTTTTCTCAGCTGATGCCGGTTATGTTTGAGGGCGGTGCGGATCCAATAATAGCAGATGACTACATGGAGCAAGTTGGGACTCAATTGACTTCTATGGATGTGACAGAGGATCATTTGAAGATCATCCTAGCTACTTATAAGTTTGCTAAGGATGCTAAATTATGGTGGAAGTCGGTTACGAGCCGATACAAGATAGAAGAGATGAGTTGGGATAAGTTCAAGGAATTATTTTATGAAAAGTACTTTCCACTTTCCAAAAGATGGGAGTTATAAGACCAGTTTCATAACCTTATCCAAGGGAGCATGTCAGTGGCAGAATATGAAAACAAGTTCACTTCACTTTGTCGCTTTGCTTCAGAAATGGTGAGAGATGAAGTTAACAAGACTCGGAAGTTTGTTTCTGGTCCTAATGATCGGATGAGGCCGTTGATCACGGCACAGTTCATTAAGGTTTACTCTGAAGCAGTGGAAAGGGCTTTGATTCTGGAAGCTGATAATAAAGAGAAAGATGCAAGAAGAGAGCAGTTGAAGCAAAAGAGGGGTGCAGGGCCATCTTCAGAAGGATCTTCTTGGAAAAGGAACAGGGGCGGTCTATCTCAGTTTCAGGGACAGCAGTCTGTACGATCTGCTCCTACCACTCCGTTGCTAGCTGGGTCTGATAGGAGTGCAGTTGTTTGCTTTCAATGTCAGCAGCCTGGGCATTACAAGTCCAGTTGTCCCATGAGATTAACTTCAGTTTCTTCAGCTCCGAAGGCTTGTTATAGGTGTGGCCAGCAGGGTCATTTGATTCGGGACTGTCCGAGTCAGGGAGCAGGCACCACTAGTGGCAAAAGGCCAAGACAGAGGCCGTTACAGTCGGCTACGGTTCAATCAGGTTTCAGACCACCGCCGCCACCACCACAGCCTGCCTTATCTTCTCAGGGTTCACGACCAGCTAGGAGGGATACTCCTACTGTGTCGGCACAACAGTCTGGTGTTCAGATTAGTAGTTCACAGGCACAGGCACAGTAGGGGCGTGTCTTTGCCCTTGCACCGACTGATGCATCTCCTGGATCTTCAGTTCTCCGAGGTATATTTCCAGTGTTTGGTTCTTGGGCCCGTGTTTTGTTTGATTCTGGTGTATCTCATTATTTCATTTCATCATCATTTGCACTTGCATCAGGGTTAGAGGTCAGTTTTATGGATCGGGCGTTATGTGTTGATACGCCAGTTGGAGTTTCAATGTCTTTGAGCCGAGTCGTGAGGGACTGTTCCATTGTGATAGCCGGGCGGACTTTTGTGTTTGACCTTATCCTCCTAGAAATGACTAGCTTTGATGTCACTCACGGGATGGATTGGTTAGCTTCTTTTCATGCCACGATCGACTGTTTCAGAGGAAAGGTTACAGTTTGTACTCCCGAGGGAGACTGTTTCTTTTTCGTGGGAGATCGGAGTGATTCTCACATTTCATTATTTTATGGAATTCGTGGACGGAGTCGTGGTGATTACTTTTTGGCTACCCTTATAGCCGAAGAGGATGATATTGTGGAAGAATATTATCCTATAGTTGTTCGTGATTTTCTGGATGTGTTTCCGGAGGATTTGACAGAGTTGCCTCCACACCGAGAAGTGGAGTTCTCTATTGAGTTAATGCCAGGTACCGCGCCGATTTCTATGGCACCGTATCGTATGGCACCAGTTGAACTGGAGGAATTAAAAAGATAGCTTGATGATTTGAGGATGAAAGGTTTCATCCGACCGAGTGTGTCACCATGGGACGCACCGGTCTTGTTTACTAAGAAGAAAGACGGTTCTTTGAGGTTGTGCATCGATTATCGGAAGTTGAATCGCGCCACCATCAAGAACAAGTATCCTAAGCTGTTTTGAATTGGGAGCAACCCAAGAATGTGTTTGAGATCCGTAGTTTTCTTGGTCTAGCGGGTTACTACCGGAGATTTGTGAAAGATTTCTCCCGTTTGGCAGCGTCTATGACCCGTTTAACCCGAAAAGGGATTAAGTTTGCATGGAATGAAGCCTGTGAGTCATCTTTCCAGGAATTGACAAGATTGACTACGGCTCCAGTGTTGGTGATACCTGAGCGTGGCTTGTGTTATGTGATTTATTGTGATGCTTCACGTGATGGTTTAGGGTGTGTGTTGATGCAGGATGGTAGAGTAGTGGCTTATGGGTCTCGACAGTTGAAGACTCACGAGTACAACTACCCTACTCATGATTTGGAGTTGGCGACAATTGTGTTTGCTTTGAAGTGTTGGAGACACTACTTGTATGGTGAGAGATTCGAGGTGTACTCGGATCATGAAAGTCTCAAGTACATTTTCTCCCAAAAGGACTTAAACAATACACAGAGAAGATGGGTTGAATTCTTGGAAGATTATAATTTTGACTTGCAGTATCATCCGGGCAAGGCAAATGTGGTAGCAGATGCCTTAAGCCGAAAATCTCGTGGAACTTTAGCCTGCCTGGTTATTCGGAAGTGGAAGATGCTTAAGGATTTGGCAGAGATGGGATTGTATTGTTTTGATGATGATGTTGACAGCGAGTCGGCATTCTTGTTTAGTCTTATGGCTCAGCCTACTCTTATTATACGAGTGATTGAGTCACAGAGACAGGACCTGGATTTAGATGCCATTCACGCTTTGATCTCCAGTGGTGAGACAGTGAAAGATTGGGCTTTGTATACAGATGGGGGTCTACGGTTCAGGGGTTTGTTGGTGGTTCCT